ATGGCGGCGCCCAGCTGACGCCGGAACCGGGCCGCGGCGCCCAGCTGACGCCGGAACCGGGCCGCGGCGTCGAAAAGGTTGGGGATCCCTGACCTAGATGAAAGAACAATGAAGATACACAAACTCATTTAGTTGCTGTAATTTTTCTTCATTTATATATAATTTGCAATTATTCACATTATTTTTCTGCCAAACATAACTACCTTTATTTTTGGTACATTAATTTTTCAAATCCATACTTACTAAAGAAATCTTAGGAAGGACTGGCCTTAATGGAGCAAGCAGTTAAAAGTGGCAGTGTGGAATGTTTACACTTTCAGACTTGCAAAATTGATATCAGCCCTTCCAGGTAGACAGGAAACATGACTAGATGAACTAATTCTTCTTCATTTTAAGACTATACTAACAGAATCTATTTTTTTCTCCCTCTGACGGTTAAGCCACTGCAAAGTTCTCTTGTCCAACTGTTTCCTAGGCAGCATCTCTTCCCCTTGACCCCCAAAATCATCCACACATCAGAACATCAGAACTGAAGAAGCTTCTTGGATGAGAAGCAAAACATCTTTAAGGAAAAACAAAATAATTCCAGTTGCCTCTTGAAAAAGCACCTTTGGGACAACCATGACCTGGATGGTTGAGAATCTCCATAGACATCCACATATTCCATTACAGATATATAGTTGGATATCTGTTCTGATGATATCCTACTCTATTAGCAGTGATGGCTAACCTTTTCGGCACTGAGCGCCCAAAGCGTGTGTGAAGTTGCGCATACCTACACAAACCCCCAAAATGCAACGAGTGCACATCCCCTGCACATGTGCCCCACGTGTCCCCCCAGCAAATACACCCTGTGTATGCGTGCATGTCCCCGCGCATGTGCGCAGGTCCCCCCGCATGCTCCCCATCCCCTGCACATGCACAACAGAGACCCAGCTGCCAGTTGGCTGGCAGCAGCACGCTTGCATGCTTGGGCTTGCACGGCATAGCTGAGCTGGGGCAACAGCTTGCGTGCCTGCAGAGAGGGCTCGGCATGCCACCTCTGGCACACATGCCATAGGTTCACCATCTGGCTCTATGGTAATGGATGAGCTCACCCAGCAGCCTCATGTAATGTTAAATAGGAAAGCACTGAACATTGTGGTAGCCCACATAATAGGGGCAGAGGATGGGACATTTCCCCCCCAATCACCACCTATTGGAATCGATTCTAGAGGAAGGAGGCAAATCAGCACAACACTGTGCTGCCAATTCCCAATCCTCTCAACTGATCTAGGATACCATGGTTGATGGTATTGAAAGCTACCAAGAGGATGGATGCACAATGCCATCTCGCTCGTATCAGAGGTCAAAAATCCACCCCATATCCAGGTCTGAATCTTTACTGAAAAGGTTTAGATAACTGACTTTCCCCACAGTCCTCAAAGTCTGTTGCGTAACCACCCTTTCAACTACCTTTCCCAAAAAGGAGAGATAAGGTACTGGGTGAAAATTGTCCAACACGGTGGTTTCAGAGATGGCTTCTTGAGCAGAAGCGAATCAGGGCACAACCTTAATCAAAGAATTAACTACTGCTAGAACCCATACACATACATGCACACACAAATATGTACTGTATATAGCATACATGGAGACCTATTTGTGTTTTCCATAAGAATTCTGGATGGCACATTGAAATTCTGGGACAAATTGTGTTGAAAATATTGCTGCAAGTACCTAATTTGCAAATGTCAGGTGCAGGAGAATGTGCAAATTATTGAACCATTGCACCAGTTTTTCACATAAGATTTTGCTTAACTTTTTATGAAGATTAGAGCCATACATGAGAAGAATGCTAAATGACTAGGCACTTAAAAAAGTGAGATGTGAGATCAGATACTTAATGTAAGATGAATAATGAAAAGAGTGAGAGAACACAAGAAAGCTCATCTTTGCTTCACTAATTATAGCAAGACCTTTAATTATGTCATTTAGTCCAAAATATGGAATGTATTAAACCTAATACCGGTAGGTATGCTGTACTACTACTATGCCTCTTCCTTTTTCTGATCATGGAAATCTGTTCTAAAAATTGAATTTACAAGTATACTGTTGTTTTGAATATTGAAGACAAGTATATTGTTTTCATATTTATTTAACTAATGTAGCCAATAGAAGAAAGGCAACATCAGAAGTGAATTTGGAGAGCAAAACGTTAACAATTTGAGATGAGCAGGGAATACCTCTACATTAGTCAAAAATAAAAAATAATTAGTCAAAAATAAAAATGAATTAAAAATAGAAATTGAAAAAAATCTTGGTTAATGTTAAATATCAAAAAGGCAAGTATGTTGAAAAAGAAAATAGGTTAAACCTAAGGAGGAAGAAGTCTAACTGTAACAAATTAGACAAGATTATGAATGGCAAGGACAGTTAAATGATAATAAATATTGGTGTGGCTAGTCTTTCCAGTTTCCTGTGATAGTATGGCTATGAAACTGAGATACAAAAATAGTAGCCTTCAAGTGATGGGTTTGGAAATGGTTAGTCACAGCACTTTGGGCTGCAAAGTGAACCTGAAACAAATAAAGTTTGACTTTTCTCTTGAGAATAATGATCAGTAACATAAACTCATATATTCTGAATGAGATACTAGAAAAAGCACTAGAAAAAAATATTATGCTTAGGAAGGTTGAAAATAAGAGAGAATGAATAAAAGAGATTTTGAGACTGTCCTTGGAAATTATTACCCAGGCAAGAAAAGATAGGGATGATGAGCATTATTTTTGCCATTATCAGTAATATGAAACTTCCTTGAGAGTACATAAGTATCTATGCAGGGATTCTGAAGAAGAAGAAAAAACATCGCTACTATGTACTCATACTGCATTACTACATATGATTATTTGGTTCCTGTACTATTATTTTTGGAATTTTCTAGTAATCTTAGCTTTTTCTTTGGCTAGTTGGGATATAAAGTTTGTTTTGCTTATGAACATTTTGTTTTTATGTTTTAAATTGAAATAAATTATATTGGAAAATCAATATATACAAAGTTCCCAAATAAAATTTACAAGCCCTATGGTATAACTAAATAAAAAGTAGCAACAATTAGGGCCCTTGCTGACTATATTTAACGTTGAATTTCAGGATTATTTTACTTATTTACTTTTGTAACTCCTATTAAGTGTGGTCATACTCAACTACAGTCAGCTGCCAAAAACAAATAAATAATGTCTCTAAACCAATCCAACTGCTTATAAGGTTGATCACACAACCAACGTATAAATAGGAGGGAATTAAAAAGAGATACGGCTTTTAAAGATATAATAGAAATGCCAAATGTTTTCCAGAGTTTGAATTTAATAAGTAAGGGATAGCAGGTGTTGGAATACCATGGGCCCACTGTGGTAAGTTAAGATCCCCCAAAATGTCTGGTAAGGTAAGTTGAAAGATACTGATAATGCAGCAACAATTACACTGAAATCACCCCAAAATTAGGATTCATGTACCTCAGGGTCAATTATGGCATGTGTTGGTCATTACATTTGAAACTCAGCAATTTCCTTTACATATATATCATATTTTTACATATCTATTGTCAGAAAACACACCAACACTTTCCTTTGGAGGACAAGGAAAACGTTAAGCTATCCAATATATTCATGGTAAAAATCATAATTCACAGTTGGATTTTTTTTTTTTACAAAAAGTATCCCTGATCCTAATGACTTGAGAAGGGGGCTTAAAAAACATTTTAACATTATTTAAACATCTTTAAATAATTTCGAAGTCAACGACCCCAACTTTCTCTCATTCCCTTCGGGGGCTTTCTCTGGAGCTGAGGGAGGGCAAGAAGGCAGCCGAACAACCAGGGACACTCGTGCAACTGCGGCCATTTTAAACATGGGTGCGAGGTGGGGCGGGAAAGGGGTTGGCAGAAGTGTTGGGTTCGTTGTCAAAATAGCTACACCTTCTTTTTCTGTGGGGCTGGCCTCTGGGAAGAGCGAGCCCCCCAAAAGGCCGGCAAACAGGCTGTGGTGGGTCGCGTACTGATCGCCGGGGCTTGATCTCGGGGCACCGCCGGGGGATTGAGGGGAACGCCGCAAGGAGGGGGAAGCGTTGGCCGCCGTACAGCCGCCACAGCCCACAGCCGGGAGGGGGGAAGGGTGGTGGCGGCGGCGGCGAGGAGCAGTCTGGCTCGGTTGGGTTCATTCGTTCTTACCGCCCCGCCTTTAGGTGGCAGGCAGCGCAGCGGCCAGAGCGAGCCCGCCGGCGGGACTGCAGAGGCCTTTTCTTCTTCCCGCCTGCCGCAAGCGGCCGAGAAGTTGCTGCTGCTTCTGTTGCCGAACACAATAAAGGGAGGCGGGTGAAAAGAAAGCAGCCGGCAACGTTTCCCTTTCGCGCTTCGTAGGCCCGACCCGGCTGAGGGGCCCTTGAATAGCCATCCCCCATCACACCCGGCGCCTCCAAGCCAGTCGCTGGGAAGTCGGCCGGAGGAGGCAAGGAGGCGGCGGCGGGCGCAGGCCGAAGGGAGAGGCCTAGTGTGTGCCGTACCCTGCACCTCTGAGACGGCGCCTGGGCCAGACCGAGGCGGGGGGGCGAAAGGCTGGTCGGCGCGATGGTGTGAAACGAAAGCAACGCCTGAACGAAGATGGCCGGTGGTGGCGGCGTCGGCGGCGGTAGAAACGTAGGGAGTATCCAGCAGTCGGGTTTTCTCGAGGGTAAGTGGATTTCGGTGGCAGAGAACCGCGGGTGGGGGGAGGTTGGAAGCCGAAGCCAATTTCCGCGAAAAGAAGCCTTTTCCCTGTGGATTGAGGGCGTCCTACTTCCGAGTAAACCTATCTCGAAAGGCGGCTCGGGAAGGTAGCAGCTGGATCCTTCGCGTTTGGTTTCCACGAGTGGGGATTTTATATCCTATAGGTTCGGGAAGTCTTATGGGAGTGAGGTAAAAGAGGAGCAGGAGCGGTTTACTCTACTTTTTTTCTTTTTATAAAATCCGAACAAAAGCAAGAGGAGAAACCTGCATGCTGGGAGGGGAGCGGTGTTAGGAGGATGGCTGGCAAAGGTTAATATTTCGATAAGAGATGAAGCTAATTGAGTAAGACTTTTGTGTGGTAGTCTTCATTATGGCAGCTGCTGGCACCCCTTTTACTTTATTTTCCTTTTGCCCCAAAAAGAAGGTTTTCCTTTTCTGCATTAATTGTTTTAACGATATCTTGAAGATACTGAGGCAGAAAAATCAGCTGATAGAAAATGCTGATGTGAGAATTACTATACCTGGTTTATATGGTTACTCTTCCCCTCAATTTATGTGCTTCTTTTCCATATCTTGCTGGATATCAGTTGGTAAAAAAACAGTTTACAGTGCTATCATAGATACCTTTGCTACCAAGTAATGGCTTATTCTAGGAAGGTGGGCATGCCTTTACTACCTTAATTGAACATCCATATTAGAAGAAATACTAACTCCAGGCCAACTCAGAAGTCACAAAAATGGGTGGGCTTTCATCTTTTTTATATATTCTGGTTAGAACAAAATATGAAAAGTACCTTCCAAAGTTAAGCATAAAATGCCAGAATAATAAATTCCACTTGGTAATTATATTTTCTTTGATGACTTAAATAGCTTAATATACTGCTTTTCTCTTCAAAAATAATTCAGTGTTTTTTTTATTTATAAAAGAGATTCTAAGAATATTTTTTAGGTGTGTGTTTAATTTTGAGAGTAGGATACATTCATATGTTGAATGTGCTGTCTAACATTGATAATTTTACTTTCAGTGTGTATCCATGAAATGAGATAATAAGGTTTCATACCAGCTCTTCAAATTCTATGAGGAAGAATGATATGAAGGCAGAGTCATATGTTAGTTACTTCTTTGGATTTCTGTGGAAATGTACTGGATTTATTATCAGAGCAAAGATTAAAGATTATCTTTTTCCTATTATGACTATATGTTGAATAGCATATATGTATACATAATTCAGCAGCAGTGCTTACAGTCATCAATGCATTTCCTACCTGCTTTTTATACCTAAAAAGGAAAACATGAAGCATTCCTGAAATTTAGTGGTATAGGGGTTGTAGCAGTGCAGTGACAGAAAATGACACTGCACTATCAAAGCATGCTGAAACAAAAGGAATACATTGACAGTTGTCTTGTTTGGAAAGTTGTATACATGAAACAGTTTTTTGTGGTTTGACAGTTTTTGCCGCATCATAGTAATAAACTCTTCACAAATGTTTGTGAAATATAAATGGCTATAATGTCGTATGAAGTTGTTTCATAAATAGTGGTTTCTCAGGCATAGAAGCCCCTATGCAGTTTAGTCTCAAATTGCTATTAATAAGTATATTTTAGTGTGCTATCTCAGTACAACCACAGGGGTGTAGTCCACATTAACTAGTATCCCACTTAACATGTCAGATAGATTTGTAATCAATATTGAACCATTTATTTCATTTTTATTAATACATTAGTAATAATTATAAAATATTAGCATTGTTTTGGAACTTCTCACAAGTAGATAAATGTGTTTGTATATAAATGTGTAGATACGTGAATTATTGCTTGGATTGCAGGATTATTTCATTCAGCTTGCTATTTAAATCAAATATGGGGGTAAAATTCTCTGCAATAGCATGGAAAACAAGGCTATTTTGACCCTGAAGGGCAATATTTCCTAAATATTATTTTCCTATATTAACATTTGAATTGCATGTATAATAGTTTGATTCAGAACAATGATTTCAGAACAATTATGGCTAGTGTACCTCCTATTTTTGTTGCATAATTTAATCCAGGTATTCCAAGCTTCATTTTCCATCAAGATTTTAGAAGCCACTTGGTTCTTATTTTAATATATTATCTTTCTAATCAGTTTGCAGTCTATAACTATCCTCAGGAGCTAGATAATTTAAGACTGAACTGGGCCAACAGAGAATAAGGAACAAGGAAGAAGCATTGAATTATTGGAATATACTGAGAGGGCAAGATGAACAGGATAGGGGTGTCTTCATTGATGTCAGAGAATAACCATGGTATGAAATAAAACAACAGCAGTGACATTTGTAATTTTGAATAGGTATCATAGATTGCTACGGCGACAGTCACAGAAAGACTACCATAAAAAGGAGGAAACACAAAATGGCTGTTGTAGGTGAATGGCTAGTTTACAGTAGAATAGCAAAATCTACATAGGGCAAATAGAAAGTGGCTCTTTTAATAGACAATCATGGCTTATATGGGGTCACCTTCAAATATAATCAAATTAATACATGATGTGTATGACTTTGTGCAGTTTCTATACTGATTTTTAAAACATTTTAATGAAAAATTAAATATTCTGTATTGGTATGATAAAGATAGTTAACATATCAAAGCAGAATTTGCACCAAATCAATATCAAATAGAAAAATGAAGCTTGGACCATTCCTTGCTGCTATAATTTGAGTATTGTATTCTACATGTTACTTATGTTCATTACACCACAAGCAGGAGCTTGTTATATTAAACTTATTAATGATACATTGATCTCATGTTGTTATATCTCTAGAACAGGGGTCACCAACCTTTTGGACCTCAGGGACCACCAAACTCATAATTTTTGATCCCAGGGACTACTAACTGGTTCTGTGGGCATGGCCTAATTTGTGGGTGTGTCTTGGTGGTCATGTGACTGGCTGGGCATGACTTGTATGTAAAATATAAATATTTATATAAATATTGAATTTTTTATTAAAAAAGAGCAACTTTTACCCAAAATCAGGCAAAGCAGGCAGGCAGGCAGATTGAGTTGCTCACATAATCACAGATTCATTCAGAAATCTATCTGCCATTGGCTAGCTCAATCTGTCACATAAAATTTGCTTGCAAGCAAACTCACAAAATTAACTCACAACACACCATGTATGTAAATATTGAATTTTTTATAAAAAAGAGCAATTTTTACCCAAAATCAGGCAAAGCAGGCAGATTGAGTTGCTCACAGAATCATTCAGTGATCTATCTATCTGCCATCGGCTAGCTCAGTCTCTCAAATTTGCTTGCTGTGAGTCTGCACTGAATTTGCTTACAAGCAAACCTTCAGTCCGAAGGGAGGTTTGGCAGAGCCAAAGATTTAAACTTTCTAAAGACTAGCTAGAAAGCAAGAAATCCAACCATTTCCGGCTTCCTAGCTAATCTAAATCTCCTGGCACAGCAGAACAGATGATGGTTGGAAAAAGGAAAAATAGCAATTTTAGCAGTCAAGTTTTCCGGGTAAGTGAGTGGGAGGGGAGCGTTCCTGCGGGCCATGTGGGCAGCGCAGCCTTGTATTTCTGTGCAGCTTGGATTAATTGCTTTGTGGGGGTGCTCTGGGGGTGAGATTTCTCTGCGGCCCACCAAAATTTTCTCAACGCCCACCGGTGGGCCGCGTTTTTTAAATCGATTGTTGTATATAATTGCAATCAGTTTATGCTAATCTCTTTATCTTTCTAATGTTTTCCAGATAGGTTGTAGCCACATTTATTTACCTACCGGTATATATTTATATATCATCCCAGTTGAATAATAGTTAAATATTTATCAGCATGATCAATGGCTGCAAGATGGGAGAGATAGTATTCATTCACAATACAAAATTGAGAAAAAGCAACTTCATGGAACTGTTGGGAATTGTATGAATACATTCTGATTGTGGCTATGATACATTATGTATCATGTTCATGTTTACTAGTCAACATGTATTGCATGAACCTAGACCCGTGATGGCGAACCTATGGCACGTGTGCCACAGGTGGCATGCAAAGCCATTTGTGCCGGCACACAAGCTGCAGGCAAACTTACCTCACTGCGCATGTGCGTGCCTCACAGCTGATTTTTGCCCGGTTTGAGGCCTTTTTTGGCTCCCCAAAGGCTTGAGGAAGGCTTCTGCAGGCTTTGCAGGCCAAAAACTAGCCCCATTTCATCACTTCCTATTTTTCCGGAAATACCGGAAGTGATGAAACGGGCCTAGTTTTCAGCCTGCAGAAGCCTTCCTCAAGCCTCTGGGAAGCTGAAAAAGGCCTCAAACTGGCCGAAAATCAGCTGTGAGGCTCAGTGCAGGTAAGAGGGCAGTGGGGGGGGGATTGCGCGCCCATGCGTAGGGGTGTGGGGGGCGTACATTGCCTTCTCGGTGCTGGCACGCGAGTGTGAGCATGCAAGCACATGCACAATTTTTGGCACAGGCGCCCAAAAAGGTTAGCCACCACTGACCTAGACACTAGTTTGAAAAAAATAGTAGATTTGCTACTTTTATATACACTGCTCAAAAAAATAAAGGGAACACAAAAATAAGACATCCTAGATCTGAATGAATGAAATATTCTTATTAAATACTTTGTTCATTACATAGTTGAATGTGCTGACAACAAAATCACACAAAAATTATCAATGGAAATCAAATTTAGCAACCCATGGAGGTCTGGATTTGGAGTTACACTCAAAATTAAAGTGGAAAAAACACTACAAGCTGATCCAACTTTGATGTAATGTCCTTAAAACAAGTCAAAATGAGGCTCAGTAGTGTGTGTGGCCTCCACGTGCCTGTATGACCTCCCTACAATGCCTGGGCATGCTCCTGATGAGGTGGCGGATGGTCTCCTGAGGGATCTCCTCCCACACCTGGACTAAAGCATCCCACAACTCCTGGACAGTCTGTGGTACAACGTGGCATTGGTGGATGGAGCGAAACATGATGT